GCTTTTACTAGATGCATCTAGATAACTAGATTTTTTTTACTCATTTATCTAGATGCTCCTGCTGGAGCATCGCTAGATGCACCAGCGAATGCATCTAGATATTTTTGCAGGGCAGGTTTTGCTTGGGTAGGTGCCAAATGGAGTACTGAGTGTAATAATATTTTCAGTGTAATGGAAATATTGAGTTATAAGTTTTTTAATAATTTTAAATTCTTAAATTTAATTTTCCACAAAATTTTTCCGTTACACTGAAAAGATTATTACAATCAGTATCCCATTTGGCACCTAAGAAAGAGTTTTGTTAGCAAACGTTTTTTCGGTCACGCTTCGTGAAGCCACAATCTGTGGCAACGCTCTTAAAAAATACTAGTTTTCTGAAAAATCAACATTTCACAAAAAAAGAAAATTTTTGTTAACCAAACTTCATTCAAAGTTCGCAATAATTTCGGCATATAGGCACTTCGATCTCGTTGAGCGATCGGAGTCAGTCTTATCATTAGAACACACTTCTTTAATGAACAGTAATCTATTTAGTAAAACATCTTGAGTTTCTGTAAACCTTTAAAAGTCAAAAGAAAATGGGAAGAGCATGTCTGGGAGGTTCGTGTCACCATATATGTAGGTCGACATGGGCAACAAAGTAATGTAAACAGCCAGGAGGGACCGCCGTTCCTTAAAGTCTCAGTTATTTCTGCAAAATCTACATGACAAAATTTAAACTTAATTTATTTGATTCTAAACTTACAAATTCCTTTTTAAAAAAAAATGTTTACACACGCATTTTGAAGAAAAAGAAGCTAAAAGTCATAATAGACTGATTATAAACCACTTCTGTTATAAACAAGTTCAATCCGATAATCGTTTGTCGCTTTGCTGTTAGCGAATACCGACAACTTTTTTCGACGATCTAATGAGATGTATAAGAGGTTGAACATTAATATTGTTCTGATACCCTATACATTTTTTTTACAGCAATAATGCATCATTTGTCTCTGGTATTTATCTTATTGATATGCGTTATTCCCTTATATGTGGCAGTTGAAGATACTAAACTTTAGTATTATAAAGTTTATGCTACAAAATAATAAAATGAGCAAGCAAGTAGACGTACTCTTGAAGAGTATATTACCCGGTACATGTTCAGATCTTATTCTAAACAAAAATCCAAAATTAAAAGCAAAATTATATTCGCCACATTTCCAGGGCCTCGCAACACCTATCGGTGAATTCTATACCACTATTCCGGCTTTTGAATATATTTATGGTATCGTATGTAGTATTCAAGGTTTGCCTCCTGCAAAATTTACCGTCAAATCGTCAGAATTAGTTCACATAACGTATGATTTATCTAAATATTTGGTCAGTGTTATATTTAATATATATTTCTCTAATAATGAAACTTTAACAATATTCGCGTACGTAGCATTTGATAACCAGTTCAGACTCTGTGCCTATGATGCAGTAGTACGAAATCCTGGTTTAACGTTTGACCAACCAGCAGCCTATCATACGCAAATGATAGAAGGTTTATGCCAAGGTATTCAAAAAGTATGCATCAAAAATAATACCCAATATGAAAATGTAAGCAGTTGTTTATGACAAATAAAATACCATATGGAACAAGTGATAGAGAAGATCAAAGTAATGTTGTTTGTAGACAATTGCATCTTCAGTTAGCATTTGTCGATCCAAATGTACATTGCAAGCATGTAGGAAGAAGTGGTGGTGGTGCATGCACAGATAAAACAGCGCAATCCTATTACAAACGGCCGGACGTTCTTAAATGTGCGTATAAACGACCATAAATCCGACACATACTTTTGAAATTTTATTATGAATTTGCGATTAAATAACAATCATAATTTTTTTTGATGATAGTATCACTGAATCGATGGTGACTAGAAAGAAAAGACTAAACTCTCGTCTTTTACTTTTGTACGATAATCCACAATACTTTATAAGTTATTGAAACTTTTTTGTTTCTCTTTCTAAAGAAAAATTATCTTATTTAACTATTTATCACGCGACATTGTCTAACGAGAAAAGTTCGACAATTACTTGCGAATGAAGAAGTGGGGAGATTGCTTCATCTGTCATATTAGGCAGCCAACGAAAATAATGCTGTTCTAAAGACATTTTATCTTATCTCTCATTTGTACTGCTTCTACATCTTCACGAATGAGTTCTTGCATCTGACACTCATTTCTTGTTCGAACCGTAACAACTACTGTTTAGATAACACCCGAAAGCTTCTTTTCCGCATCTTTAATAACTGGCTCCACCTTTCTGGATATTGTGACCAGCTCACCTTGTAGAGCATTTCAAGGGCTATCCAATGGTAGACTTTCGAACAATACATAATTATTCTGTATGTCAGAAAAACGGCTAACGGAGTGTTCAAAGCACTAAGATAAGTGAAAATCATTATATCGGCCAAGTATTTCAACTATTGACCAATGTGGGCATATTTTTAAAAGGCCTTCATGGCTCATTTTGAAGCTCGTGAAATTCTCTATAGCATGATGTATAAAGTTGAGTGGTTGACCGCAAAATCAATGAATACTATAAACATGAACGACGTTGACCTACCGGTTTCCTGGGATTCTAACGAGTATTGCAGATCTCAGACTGTCCAGTTACATTGTCTTAAGACTGTCCTGAATATGATTTTGAAGCCCGTGAAAGTCGAATGACGTGTAAAGTAGAGTGGTTTACGATGACAAAAACAACCTCGCTCCCAGCAAAACTCGCAAAAATAGTGAAAAAGGGCTTGTCCCTTTTGGCAAGGTTTTCAGTAAAAGTCGAATAACTTTTAAACGAAAAACGTTTTCGAAAATAGCTCTTTGTTGTTTTGTAGTCTATTTTCTGGTGCATCTAGCCATGCCAGAATATCGCGGCTACAACCTCCCACAAAACCTATGAAAACCTTGCGAGAAGAGGGTGTCTCGGTTTTGACCTGTACTTTAACTGCGTTATCAAAAATCCAGTTTCGGAGCTAGAGCTCCGGAAAGTGCACGGCTAAATTCAAGTGCATGGCTAGAATCGTTACGCGATAGCGGCTAAATCCTCAAAAACAGGTTCGTTGGCTTCACTTGTCTTCATTGTATTCGATAGAATAACTAAAAAGTTAGTTATAAAGGTATACACTGAAAAAAATAAAGTGAAATTTCATATAGGTTTCCGGGAAAATCCCTAGAAAACTAGATTCACGTCATACTGGAATATCCGCAAATATCTACGTTTATGCAGTTTGGTTGTCTCTATCGAATGACGTTTACCCGAAATTGTGTGCGCTCAGATCTCAGTACAGTACCTGTTATTAGTGTATACCTAGTGGTAAGTGCTTTGTTACTTGAAAGTTTGCTGCTGCATTAATGTGTGAAGAGAAAGGAAATGAATAAGTGGTAGTGTTAAATTTCAAAAGTACAATATTTATGTACTTCTTATAGAACAGAAATCTCAGGTTTAAAAAACGGAAGTCTTAACGCAGGCTATCAAGTTTCTTTAATCGTTGTTTTTTCAAGCTAATATCATTTTTTAAAACCACACATATAAGAAGTAGTTTCGGTATTACTTTCGGGTAAAGTTGTTTATTAGAAGTAATTTCTTTTTTTTAAAAAAAGAATGGCTCTTTGGTTTTTAGCAGCACTGTCACTTTTTGCCTATGTTTTTGGCGCTGTTTTTAAAATAAAAGCTGAAATAAACAAAAAACGTTTAATTACATTTTAACTTTAGTACTGGGCAGTCGTTGGGTCACCGCTGCAACTGAAGAATCATGATAGTTCAGATCTTCGAAATTTGTGCTCTCAAAGTACTATTTTTCTAGAAAATTGACGTTTCAAGAAAAAACAAAGCTTTTATTAGCCCAACTCCATTGGAAGTTGGGTCCACATCGGTACTTCCCTACACTGTTTCACCTGCTATCTTTCCACTCATTGGTCTCACAATACACGGAAACTGTTAGGGAAGAATCGAAGAGTTCAACAAAACGTTTGTTCGAAGTGTTGTTTATAGTTAGAAGACTTAATAAAAGTGTGGCTACCTGATGAGAATATGTTTCTACAAGAGTTTTCATTAAGCACGCGAAACTAGAGAATATCTTCTCTGTTACAATGCAACTTCATGCTTGTAAGGAATATCACTCGATGCAATAAAATAAGTTATTGCTTATTCGAAAAAACAAGCAAACACAAGTATATTATTTATTTAAACATAAGGAAAAAGAAAATTGATAACAACTGTATAATACTGGGAGCATCAGCTTTTATGATTTTCGAAGGAATGTACTTAAAGCTGATGAAAAAGTGAAAGTCAGAGTAAAATTCGCAGATGTTTTCCGAAAAGCTCCTAGAGATCGAATATTGTGTCGAAAAGAATTCTAGCTTCTAATGAGCTAGTGTATTTTATATTTAAAAAAGTTCGAATTTTAAAACTTGAAATTCAATTTAAAATGAGAAATTTGGACTGGACAGCGACTTCTTGCCAGTATACAGCCCGTACAATTATCAATCGAATGGTGTATTGCAAATATTTTTAAAAGATAAAGGATTTCTTGAAAAAGACTATTCGACCAAGTTCCCTATGTGAAAAACCATGATTTTCGGGAAGCCCCGCTTATACTCACTTTCAGACATTTTCAAATCAGCCAAAAGAAAAAGTGTCCTTTAAAACGTGTAAGTATGAAAAGAAATTTGTTTTTGGTTCACTCGTTAGGGAGAGAGCCTGATCCAACTTTCCCATTTAACCCTCGTAATCAACAAAGCATAGTCTAAAAATTGCAGACAGCAAAGATAAATCTTTCCCCATTGAAAGTTTTTTCAAGCTAATAAGCGAAAAATCTGCCGTATGAACTTCACCACTTCCCCACAGTGCGATTCAATTTTCAATAGGCACATGGAAATTTGTTTCAGAGCGGTTCCTTCAACCGAAAAATTTGTTTTTAATAGGCTTTCGTGTGCACTCTTTCTTATAGCATCCGTATTTCAGCTAACATCTGGTTTTCTGTTGGTTTTCCAGAGATCTGGTCTCTAGAAACCCTTTAGAAAATCACTTTAAAAGTTTTTGAACTGCACCATTAGATTTGCCATGGTCGAAAACCTGCCGAAAACTGGTTTTCACAATTTCTGGAAGCTCGAAGGTGCCATACTAAAACATCAGCTACAGCTTTACAGAGAGAAACCTTGGAGAATTGAAACCGATGTATCAAGCTTTTATTACTGTGTCCAGAATTAAAGTTTCTTAAGTACTGGAAATATAAACTCGAACAAAACTGTCTATAGCTTGTCGACACATTGGACACGTTCGAAGGGAATGACCGCACGGCACGCACGTAGCCACATGGCCACATGGCATACACGCCAAACATTTTTCATCTGTCATACACAGAACACACACGCTTGAATGTGAACTCGAACTCGGTATTGTGGTTTGACTCTTTTCCAATTCGGCTAAAATACCAAACAAATTCTGAACTAACTATTCTCAAGTCTGAAATACGAATACCTGTATTAGCTGGTTCAGTGGTATTCAAGAATGTTTTGTGCTCTGAAATAGAAGAGACCACCGAAATATATTTTGAAATGTACGAGTAGAATACTTTTACCTTCTTTGTTTTTATTCGCTATGTCTCGAAGCTTTCTAGATGGTATAATAATGTTCTCTTTCTTACCATCGATAACGTCAATCTGCTTTTGTAAGATCAAACAGGCCATAAATAAATCACTATCACTTGGAAAATCATCAACTAAATAAAACAAACTTTATGTTGGAAAGTAAATCAGCACTAACATTTTCACCTACGTTTCAATCTCAGTTGATCTTCGTAGCATCGTTTTACAATCGATAATCTAAATGTGTTTAGTAATCGTTGAGATTCAGGTAAGTCTAATCGAGCTGCAACATATTTCGTTAGTGTATTCTCATCCGGTATGAGTAATTGTGTAGTAGTTGACGAGATCCCTGATTTCTTTTGAACTGAAGTGAACAGAGAATAAGAGACATATTAGATTATGTAACGCAGCGTCACTAACATTGTTTTGATTGTTGAATTTTCTGATATAAATCATCTCCACACAACTGTCGGATGTACCCGCAATGTGGGAACCAGCGAGCGTGTTCATTTGTCGGATTATCTTTCGCCGACCAATTTTGTAGTGATCCATTGCAATAGAAACAGGAGACGATCGTTCCCGTTCCAGAATAAAAGAAACCTGCTCTGACCATTTCATCCACGGGTGGTGCCGGTTTGTTTTCGGGCCATTTTACAAATGTTGAATGACGTTTGGGTATTTCTATAAAGGCTTTATTACATGCTTGGGCCAGCACCATTTCGGTGCTTGATGCACCGTTCGGTGTTTCATTAAGAATGACTTTTGTGGGTGTCATTATTGAGACGAGATTGGATTGAACATAACAACAATTTGGCGATAGTATTCGATGAACTTCACTCGGATCATCGGTGAGAATCCACTGTTGACAGATCAAATTACAATAAATGCAAATCACTCGATCACTTACATTGCAACTGAAGAATCCACTGGCAATCATTTGTGACAGGGATGGTTGTTTCAATGGCCAATGTGAGAATGAACGTTTTCGAACATCAACTACTGATTGAATTTCAACAAATGATTGATCATGTTTTGGCCGCTTCGTTTCCACTTTGATCACTAAATCATTTGTTGGTGATGCAGGTCGTTTTCGATCTGTCGGCATTGTTTTTAAGTTATCCCCCATTGATTTGAAATACTCGAGCACATCATCATATGAATGATAGTACTGCTGAATAGTCGATGAACAGTGTTTCTGTTGCTCATCCATAGTTTTCGTGATTTCTGCAGCTGCAATGGCAATAGACAGATGTTCTTTTATCCTTTTCATGCTGGGTAATATACAAAAAAATGTGTTTTTTCTTGTTTACTTTTGATTGAGTAATAACTGGGTTTTATCACAAGAACAATAAGTGGGAAATGGTTTGATTGACCGAAAAATGCAATATGTCATCTAAGTAATAAAATACCCAGTTAACTTTGACGAAAATATTTGATTATACTAGAGCTTACATGACAAATGAAACTGGGTGTTTTGACAATAGAAAATGCAAATACGGGAGTGTATTCGGTATGTTTCGTAATATCAAGTAAGGGTGAGGTACTTTTTTCCGGTGAAAATAAAATGCAGGTCGCAAAAACGAGAAAGCCAGAGGTGCAGCTTCGACATCACGCTCTTTACTGTATTACCTCCTGAAAAATGATCCGATCAGTGTAAGAATTTTACTGCGGGTATCTGACAATTCCCAAAAATTCTTCTTAGCATCCCGTTTTATTCCCTTGACTGAAAATAAGGGTTAGAAAAAAATAAATATCTGTCTTTGCACAATGACGAAAAACGTTACTCCTCATCAAGGAAAAGGTATGTTTTCGTGCAACTTCCAGGCTGGAGGTAACAGACTATGACGAACCAGAGAATGATCAAGAGAGAACTCTACGAGCGATTCTATTTCTCGAACACTAGTTTTCACTTTGATTAGGTAAAAATGATATCAAATGGGCAATCAACTGTGCAGCAGTCTTCCGGACTAGTTTTAGGACAACCCGAAGCCCGCAGAAAACTTTTCCAGAGGAACTTGACCGTATGTAACCAAGTTGGGCTCAGTTCGAAGTGACGAATCTTCAGAAAATCTTTGAGTTTTTCTATAGACTTTTTATTCTACCTGCTCGTTTCGACAAAGCTCTGCTAACTTTTTTAATGGGCTTCGAAGAATGAGAGCGTGTAAGAATCCGCTATCCGTTACAAGACGTTTAGCATCTGAGTTCGATATGACCGAAGCGAGTCGAGCAGTCACGTACAACATTGCAGTCTTCACTTTTACCGTTGCGAGTTGAGATATTATTTATTATCTGCAAAGAACGACAAGCGCTTTGGCGAATCTGACCCTGTCGGCATCTAAAGTGTTCTCTGGAGCATAAAACGAGTAAGCGTGCGATCTGATTCGTAGAGATCGCGAAAACTCTCTTCTCGTCTGGAGACTTTTGGACGACCTCCCAAAAATGAGAGCTCGACATAGTTCTCGGCGTCAAACCATTCGGTCTGCGTCAAAGGGGTTTAGATCCTCGATTGACATTCAGTACCACAGCCTAATACAGGCTTTAAGAAAAGGAAAAAGTTCGATATATATAGCTAGTTTGAATGTTCTGCTCATTGAGGGTAATGTCAGTGCAATAAATTTTTCCATGTTACGACGTGTATCCGCCATCATTAGTCATTTGTGCCCATATAGCCTAGAGCAGAGCTGGAGAAGTCCAACACCGGACTGAAAGAATTTCATAGGATGAGGGAAACGGACTTGCACTAGAGATTTGTGTAATATGTTTTATTATGAGGTGTCTGTGACCTGAAGTATCGAATTACCAAAGACATCGGTCAAATGAAGAAGGCAGAGAAGATAAAAATGTCATAGTATATTTATCATTTTGAATAGAAAAAGAAATGATTTTTTTCCAACTGTCTCAAGGATAGAGATGCCTACTTTATGTACTAACGCAGTAAGAAAATGTATCAGATGTACGTATAATTAAATGGAAATTATACGTAAAGTAGGAAGAAACGGATTGATGCAGATCAGTAGGTGGTTGCTAGATTACGTTGCTAAAATATGTTATTCCTCTTCATCTGTTACCGTAGGTTAATAATGAGCTTTCGAGCATCTATAAAAAATATATATTCAAATAAAACAATTTTCTTGATCGCCATGTCTTTTTATTCCAGAATGGTTATTGCCAGTCCCAGGCATGTCCAAACTATTCCTCTGCTTTGCAAATTCTTTGAACCTAAAGAACATGGCTCTCAGTGTCTTCCTTCCTCTGCTAGAAATACTGATCCACAGAATCATTCACAAACACGTCGACCAATTTTAACTAGTAGTCGATGATACTCGCGTTTTACCTGATATGTCTGATGGCTAATGTATAAGTCGACGATCACTAAATTTTCAGTGAAACTCGATGAGCCGAGTTTTCACTGACGGTAATGTCTCGATAGGACTTCCACCTCTCGTATGTTATTTCTTTGAAAAATCTTTTCATGTCTTATTGTGCTGCTCCTAAACCCATGGTGCATATCACGTTTAACCATTATGTCTAAGAATAAATGCTGAACTCTTCGTTGTTCCACAAGCGGTCCTTACTAGTATCCATTTCTATGGTTATAATGAGAACCCAGTTTCCATCGAAAAATGTTTGCTTCTCGATGCGGTAAGCTTTAGGCAGTAGCTTTCAACTACTATGAGCACTTTATAACAAGAAGAAGAGCTCACCAAATTTTTCATCCAGGTTTTCCAAAATCAGGCAATAGTTGTTCAGTAGCTAGTAAATTTGTTAAGGACGTGAATTGAAATCTCTGAACCGAGAGATTAGAAATAAAAGGATAAACGTACAAAATGAATTTAGCTGCAAAAAATAACATAACAAAGCCAAAATATCGTATGTTTTCAAAAAATCTGAGTTTTAATAACTATTAACAGATGAGGGTCTTAAGAGAAAAAAATGATTTAAGACCAACAATTTCGTCGAAGTGATCGATTTCAATCTTATGATGAGAATAATAGCAAAATTACATGGTTAACTGAATATAACCTATCCAATTCACGTAACGTAGATCAGTTTCAAAGTAGAATTACATTATTTTAATGATATTTTACATTGTGAAAAGTATATAAATGAAAATAAGACTCAGTATTTTCTATTAATATCAGAATGTGTTGCTGATAAATATTTTATGAATCATTTATACCATTTAATCGTTCTTAGTTGTGTTGACAGAGTTTCACAACTACGAGCTAGAATCGATTGAAATGCTGAATGATTTATCGCATGATAAATAGCTGTTAGTACCACGTAAAGATGGAAAAAGAGAGATATAGCGCTTACTTTGAACAATTTTTGACTAAATATTTTGCCATTTTGTCCTCTATGTCGAGCATAAATATAATTTGAAAGATGTAAACCATTCATAAAATATTTATTAACAACACATTTCACAATATCTATGGCATTCCTGCTCTAATTGAGCCCTCTACTGCTATACACAAATGTTTTTGAAATTTCTGATAAGAATCTTATCCGATTCTTATATAACAAGTGACACGCCGAAGTTGCACTAATTCCATAAGAATCCGATAAGAATCGAGTAAGAATCTTATAAGAACATATTTACTTCGTTCTAGTAAAATTTCACAGAAATAATTTTTTCTTCGTAGATTTTCGTTAAGTCAAAGAATTTTAACAACGCAGTCTCATGTGTAGAATCCACTATCATAAACTTAAAATGTCAGTGCACTAAATTATATTCCATCGTGATACGCATTATTTTCATACTCAAAATACTAAGCACCACTTATAAGAGAAGTTCGAAATTGAAAAAGATGTTGTGACAGATTAAAAAGACGCGATGTTTATATATAAATGTGTCCGCACTGCGGACTCCGCAGTATCTCAATAGCAGAACCCATGGATTATCATGAACAACTCCCAAGGTTTGACTCTGGACGGACCGGTTCTTTTAAAAAATCTTTTTTTATTCATTACTCAAGAAAAGTGCTAAGGGAACTATCGCGAATGGTCAGAAAAACTTTTGTTATGAGAATTTTATAAGAACGCGACAAGATACTAATAAGAACCCTTATTACTTTCTTGTGAAATTCTTATAAGATTCTTATCTGATTCTTATGAAATTCGTGCAACTTTCGTGCCACTTCTTATATAAGAATCGGATAAGAGTCTTAGCAAAAGCACATAAAAAGCTGACAACATCCTTACCAGATTCCGGCCCAATAAAAATTTATGTGTAGGGAGTTTGCTTCATTTTCAATCATGCTTAACCTTGATGACCAATCAGATTAAATATATTTTCAGTTTGCCTGAATAGTTCATATCGGCCAACCATTGCTATTTGTTGACCTAGAACAAGTACATTTTATTATGAGGTGTCTGTGACCTGAAGTATCGAACTGTCAGAAATATAGGTCAAACGAAGAAGAAAGAGAAGAGAAAAAAAAATCACATATCATTTTGAATAGAAAAAGTAATGGGTTTTTTCCCACTCAAGGACATAAATACCTACTGTATGTACTAACGCAGTAATAAAATCTATTAGATGTACGTATAATTAATTTGAAGTTACAGGTAAACTTGGAAAAAATAGTTATACAAACAGACTGATACAGATCAGTAGTTGGTTGCTATATTCTATGTTTGGAATCAGAGCGTCAAGCTACATCGAACCGCGTATAAAACCATAACTTTTCAGTGAAAAGTATCTCTATCAAATGTTTTTTCTCGGATCCGTTATGACGATTTTTCGAAAATTAATTAAAAATGTTTATTTCTCGTCTACAAGAGTTAATTATTAAATGATATCAAATTTTCTATTAATAATAATAACAAATTGAAAAGTTGATGTAAATAATATATTAAAAAATAACAGTAATAATAATCATCGTCACTGTTATTATTATATTTTTATCGCTGCCAATGTTTTACGAAAGGTAAAATGTTTAAATTTAAAGATAGAAAATAAAATCAATTTGTATCACAGACAATCTTGTCAACAAAAAAAGATAGAATTTGCAATTGAATAAACTAAATAAAATGCACGTAATGCAAACTTGCAGTGGAATTTATTTTTGAACTTATTATAGACCATTCGATAGGAAAAAACGACGAAGTTCGAAAAAGTTAGATTTTTCGACCTGGGTTTTTAGTCGAAACGTTCAAACTATTCTTTTCTTATTCAGCATTAAAAGCTGAATTAGAAATTGATATGAAATCCATTTCGAAGGTAAATGCCTGTCCACCATGGACATTCGAATGAACGATTGGAAA